AGGAAAAGGAGGAGGAAGAGGAGGAGAACTGGGGGTCCTTGGTGGCTTCTGAGCTTGATGGTTTTCTTGCAGACGTCTCATGACCCAACTAGGTAACATCATCAGAGCTAGAAGGGGGGAGGAGTTTGCTGAGAGGAGGGGAAGGGAGGAGGAGGAGGAGGACTGTGGGGTCCTTGGTGCTCTCTGAGCTTGCTTGTTTTCTTGCAGACGTTTCATCACCCAACTAGGTAACATCAACAGTGCTAGTGGGGAGTGGGGTTTGTGGGGAGGAGGAGGAAGAGGAGGAGGAGGAGGAGGAGGAACAGGAGGATGAGGAACAGGAGGAGGAGGAGGAGGAGGAAGAGGAGGAAGAGGAGGAGGAGGAGGAAGAGGAGGAGGAGGAACAGGAGGAGGAGGAAGAGGAGGAGGAGGAGGAGGAGGAGGAGGTGGACAACGGCTTTGGGGTCCTTGGTGCTCTCTGAGCTTGGTAGTTTTCTTGCAGACAATTCCTTACCCAACTAGGGAACATCATCAGTGCTTTGGGTAGTGAGACATCTGCCAAGAAACAACCAAGCTCAGAGTGGACCAAGGACTCGTTTTAAGAGCCTCTGTATACACAGAACAACACAGAGTAGCAAGTAACTGGCGTATATTTCCCAGCAATTCCTAAACGTTGTTTCCTTGCAGACATTTCATTACCCAACTAGGTAACATCATCAGTGCTAGAAGGCAGCAGGGTTTGCTCCATTCTTCTAATGCTCGCTGGGACAAGAAGCCCAGTAGATACCACAATATTTTGCTATTCGGTTCCCCCGTTTGGCCAAATAGGTGTTTTTCAAACAGTAGCCTTACTACAGCTTGGAATGGTTAAACGCGGTGAGATTTATAGCCCCTTAATTAAAAGCTGTCATCTTCCTGTGAGCTGATGCAACGTTTTTATCCCCACGCCTCTATTTTTACCTCCGCTAATATCAATATGTAATCTTATTTTTCTTCTTTTTTCTTTTTGGAGAAACGCTGTTGCCAATTCCCAGTACAAAATTAGGTGTTCTTCGAAGTTTTTCAGCAGGGGGGGACATAATTGAGTTCTCCTCCCCTCGCCTTCCCTGCCAACACATTTCCCTCCCTCCCTGCCCAAATACACTCCTGGCATTGTTCAACCCCATTCCAGCTTGGATGCATCACGCCGAGAACTCATCCCTGCTAGCAGATGCCTGTTATCCTGATAATACAAGTCAGGAAAATAAGGAGCTGTTTAATGAGTCACTGCTCAATCTGGACCGCGCATGAGATGCTAGCTTGGGAGGTATAAAGGACATCATGGTTTTTGAAGCATTGGGCTTTCTGAAATCCTAAACCAGTGGTGGCTCACCTTTCTGGGCTCCTTTGCCCAAAATTGCGTGCGTGCTTGTGTGCGCGCGATCACATGTCAACACCCAGAAGACAATGCGCGCGCACCCCCGCGTCCCCTGAGCATGCCTGCGCGATTCCCCCCCCTCCCTTACCTACACTGCGCCTCCTTGCTGATTTTCGTCCCGTTTGAGGCCTTTTTCGGCCTGCCAGAGGCTTGAGGAAAGCCTCTGCAGGCCGAAAAAATGGGCCCGTTTAGTCACTTCTGGTATTTCCGGAAATACAGGAAGTGACGAAACGGGCCTATTTTTCGGCTTGCAAACCTGGCAGAGGCTTCCCTCAAGCCTCTGGCAGGCCAAAAAAGGCCCAAAAATCAACTGGGAGGCGCGCATGTGCGCAGTGAGGTAAGTTTGCCTGGGACTCACGTCCCCACACAAATGGCTCTCTGTGGCACGCGTGCCATAAGTTCACCATCACAATCCTAAACCCTGCTTCTATTTTTTTCCCCGGGGAAGAAATATTCCATATTTTATCAAGGCTGAGAAGAGCTGATCTCCTTAGGAGAGAATAACCGATGACGGAAACCGTTTCTGAACTTTGTGCTTGGGGTGGAAAAGAGTGAAATTTTGATTTTGGGTTTTACCAATTATTAGACCGATAGATCACAGCCATGGCTTATTTGTATTATTATGAAACAAAAAACAAAAAACGTTGTGATTTAGAATAGAATAGAATTCTTTTTTGGCCAAGTGTGATTGGACACACAAGGAATTTGTCTTTGGTGCATAAGCTCTCGGTGTACGTAAAAGAAAATACCTGATTTGTTTTTCTTGGCAGTTTCTGAGAATGTCTTTCCTGTTCCATCGACTGTGGCACACAGGGGCACGTCCCCTCAACAATAAAAGATGGTTTTACATCTTAAATTCTTTTCATGTTTGTTTTTCTGCACAGAAACTGAGACGTATGTTTTCCCCAGGGCTAACTTCGTTGGGGCTCACCTATGGCTTGTTTGACAGCATTATGTCAAATAAACGGGAGACTGTTTTCTTGCAAAAGATCGAGAGTTTCTCGGGCAGGTTTGTGTAAAATGAGGAAACCCCCCCCCCCCTCCAAATGTTGATAGCTCAAGTTGCTTTTGTCTGCGCTGAAAACTTCCTTCCAAGATCTTCCTAAATGTCTTGATGACCTTACTCTCCCAAAACTGATGCCGAAACCACTGCACCAAACTAGCCTTTCCTTTGCCATTGTTATTAATAATGTGATTGTACAGTACTTCACCGTCGCACAGGTGATACAATTTCTACGGCAACGCTTGTCTTTTAAGAGTTGACTATAAAGAGAAAATACCGTGTGTCTTATGTTCTCAGTCATCGAGGTCAGAGTTGTCTCAAAGGTGTTTTTTTTTCCAAAAGGCAACTGGAGTTCCTTGGGTTTTGTTTTTTTCCTTGAAGACGTTCCGCTTCTCGTCTCAGGAGCTTCTTCAGTTCTGACGAAGCTTCTCGGTTGGATGAGAAGCGGAACGTCTTCAAGGGAAAATAACCAAGAAAGTCCGGTTGCCTTTTGGAAAAAAAAACACCTTTGGGAAAGACTGCACGAAAATATTCTAAGGGAGCTTACAATCCCAAAGACTCATATTCTCCCACCTCCAGGTTGATGGCAGGTATGCTACTGGTTCGGACCGGTTCAGCCAAACCGGTAGTAAAAAAACTTCCGATGATCAGCCGAGAAGAGGGGAAAAAAATCCATAAAAAAAAAAAAAAAAAAAAAAAAAAAAAAAAAAAAAAAAAATGTGGCCTTCAACTCCCAGAATTCCTCAGCCAGCTTTGCTTTGCTGGCTGAGGAATTCTGGGAGTTGAAGTCCACAAGTCTTAAAGTTGCCAAGGTTGGACACCCCTGCCTTAGGCAAAGCAAACCACCAAGCCACGCCCACCGAACCGATGGTAAAACAATTTGAATCCCACCCCTGGTTGATGGTACCAGAGAAAACTTTTAACTTTTTAAACTTTTTTAAATGCTGTAAAGTGACAGTTTGTTCCCGACATCTCAAAGAGAGGTTTTTTTTTGTATTTTTTAAAAAATAAATGTCTATTGAATTCTACACAATTAAAAACAACATAAATACAAAACAACACAACAAAACCACAAATACAATCTTTACAATGTCGTGACATTGACTGTTCCAATTGTTGTTAACTATCTACCTATATGTATGTGTGTGTGTATATATAAACATTTGTTTGCTTGTATTATTTTTTTATTCTTATTTTCCTATCATCCAACCAATCATGCCATTTTTTCCCAGACTGTATACTATATACTCTCCCTTTCTTGTAATTCCAACATGAGTTTTACCATTTCTGCACAATCCATAATTTTCTTTATGATCATATAATCGGTGGGAGTACAATCTAATTTCCAACTTTGGATGTAAATTATTCTTGCTGCTGTTAGAATGTGTATTATGATGTATTCAATTTCTTTCTTGAAAGTCCCTCTGATTATCCTTAGCACAAACATCTCAGGTTTCAATCCTATTTGAAATCCAGTAATTTCTTGTAACCATGTTGTGATGACCCGGGACGTGACACAAAAATAACAGAGTCACAAAAGTGGAATAAATTCCCTTGGCCCCAATGTCCAATTATCCTTGGCTGGATAACAAATTCTTCAAGAAACAGTCTACGAAGGGCAGAAATGCAGTCAGAACCCAAAGTAAAGATAATTAGAATTTTAAAAAATCAACACAAACCACACTGAAGTAATTAACAAGGCAGGCCAGGATGATAAATTGCAGACTTTCAAAGGATAATGCAGCACCCACCGTTGGGAGGACGCCAATAAGCCTCAACCAAGATAATGCACGCTTTGCTTCCAGCAAGGTTCTGTGCGCAAACATCGTCTTTAAATCCTGATTTCCCAGCTGCAGCTAATGAAGGGAATCAGGGCCCTTTTCTCCCCATAAGCCATGTTGCTCCCTTCTCCATTCCTCCCTGCATGCCCTAGGATGAAGAGGGGGTGGGCCTGGGTCTTCCTCTGAAGGCCCAGCCGGACTGTGCCCTTCCCCAGTTTCCTCCACAGCCACCGGAGCCGCACTCCCACTCCCTGTCAGCTGCTCAATCTCCCCCTCAGAATGGACTCCCAACAAGGACGTGACACATGTTCTCATTTTATTCCACTATTCTTTTGCTTTAGGGCAGGACCACCACACGTGAAAGAAGGTACCTTGCTTGTTTTTACACTTCCAGCATTCAGGTTTACAATTTGGGTCAATTTTTGCCAATCTTGCTGGTGCTAGATGCCAAACGATAGAACATTTTATAAAGGTTCTCAATTTGTTCCCGGCGGTCTCAAAAAGAGGATTTTTACGGTGCGGGTGTATGCCACGTGTTTCTCTACTGCTTCCACTGAGTTGTTTATCTGTGGGAAATCAATCTTCTCGTCTAACAGTAATAACCGTGTAAGGTTTATTTCACAGCGCCTTCTTCCTCAGGAAAAACAAGCCTCGGACGAGGCCTAATCCGAAAAGTTACCTTCCCCTCGACGAATTTGCTCTTTGATCTTGCATTGTTTTACCAATGTTTTTTTTTTTTTTTCCAGGATGATGCACGGTAGTCTTTTCAGGAGGCACCCTCCCTCGTCTCTTCTCTAATGCTGCCCTTTTATTCCTTCAGGCTGCAGATAGAAGAATCCTCCAAGCCGGTCAGCTGGACCATGCAGCTGGACAAGGCCGTCACCACCAATTACAAACCGGTGGCCAATCATCATTACAACGTGAGTTGCGTCTAACCCTTTCCTTCCTCTGCTCCTTCGAGCAACGCTCGATGCCTTTGAAGGGTGTGAAAAGTGGTCATGAGTCACTATTTCCCCCCCAGAATAGAATAGAATAGAATAGAATAGAATAGAATAGAATAGAATAGAATAGAATAGAATGTACAGTAGAGTAGAGTAGAGTAGGGTAGGGTAGGGTTGGGTAGTAGAATAGAACAGGAATAGGAATGGAATGGAGAGTATTGGAATGAAGAATAGAATATAGAATAGAATACAGAATAGGAAATAGAATAGAAAATAAAATACTGGTAGAATAGAATATAGAATAGGAGTAGGAATGGAATGGAATGGAGAGTATTGGAGTGAAGAATAGAATAGAATAGAATTTAGAATAAATACAGAATAGGAAATAGAATAGAATAGAGAATAGAAAATAGAGAATAGAATAGAATTGAATAGGGGATAGAATAGAATAGAAAATAATAGAAAATAGAACAGAATAACAGAATTGGAAGGGACCTTGGAGGTCTTCTAGTCCAACCCCCTGCCTAGGCAGGAAACCCTACAGCTCTTCAGACAAATGGTTATCCAACATCTTCTTAAAAGCTTCCAGTGTTGGAGCCATCCACAACTTCTGGAGGCCAAGTTGCTCCACCGATTCATTGTTCTCACTGTCAGGAAATGTCTCCTTAGTTCTTTTTTTAAGACTAAATGTTCCCTTTTGAAACAGAGTTCAAGCCCCTCCATTCTTATTCCCTTCCTTCGGATTCTTTGCTCTGAACCGCTTCCCGTCAGCCGTCGCTTCCTACTGTGCTTGCCCAAATTCAAAACTGGCCCTAAGGAGAGCTGACAAACCGACTGCACACTCGACACATCCCACCCACAATTAGGACAACCGTTGTTGTGAAGCGCTACTCTCGGAGGTGTGGATGCCTCCTCCTGCCTGTTGGACAGGCCCAGCTTCTCTGGGGACCCCTGCTGCGTGGAATCAGAAGAGAAGACCTGTGGATTTAACCCCATCTGCTTGCTTGGTTACAATCCGCCTGATGAAATTTAGCTTTGGTGGCAACTTATTGGTTATGGGTCGGAGGCAATTCGGAAAAATGGACCTGGGTTCTAATTGCCACCAATCACTCTGCTCAGATGCGGGCTTCAAAATTTTTTAGAAGTTTTAAACTATTTAGAAAATAGGGAAATATAGATTATTATAATAAAAGATTGGAGCTGATGTTTTGTTTCGTTATTAGAATGTTTTATTTATTTATTTATTTATTTATTTATTTATTTATTTGATTTGATTTGATTTGATTTGATTTGATTTGATTTGCCAATTGTTTGCAAGATAATAAGTATAAATGTATACATAGTTGTGAATACATGAAATGGGTACATATAAGAAAAATAAAAGAATAAGAGAAACAATAGGACAGGGACGGTAGGCACGTTGGTGCGCTTATGCACGCCCCCTACAGACCTCTTAGGAAAGGGGTGAGGTCAATAGTAGACAGTCTAAGGTTAAAGTTTTTGGGGCTTGGGGAAGAAACCACAGAGTCAGGTAGACTATTCCAGACATTGACTACTCTGTTGCTGAAGTCGTATTTCCTGCAATCAAGTTTGGTGCGGTTTACTTTGAGTTTGTATCTATTGTGTGCTCTTGTGTTGTTATGGTTGAAGCTGAAGTATTCATTGACAGGTAGGACATTGCAATGTATGATTTTATATACCATGCTTAAGTCAGACCGAAGACGGCGTAATTCAAGGTTTTCTAGTTCTAGAATTTCAAGTCTGGTGGCATAAGGTATTCTACAACGAGTAGAGGAGTGGAGAACTCTTCTTGTGAAATATTTCTGGACTTTCTCAATTGTGCTAATATCAGATATGTAATGTGGGTTCCAGACTGATGAACTGTATTCGAGTATTGGTCTAGCAAATGTTTTGTATGCTCTGGTTAGTAGTGTGATATTACCAGAGAAAAAGCTACGTAGGATTAGGTTAACAACTCTTAATGCCTTTTTGGCTATGTAGTTGCAGTGGGCTCTAGCACTTAGATCATTAGAGGTGAGTATTCCAAGGTCCTTTACAGAGCTTGGGTCATCAACAAGATCTTGTTTGTTTTGTTAAACTTTATAAAGGGATAAATGGAATGAATGTGAAAAAAGGAAAACTATGATAAGTTTATTAACTATGTTTAATGAATATATAGAATGTAGTTGAAGTGAATTATGAGGGTTGTTGTAATGAGATTAAGATCAGTGTTTATGATCAGCTGAATAGATTATTTTTTCTTTTTGAAATTACAAATAATTTTTATGTAATTGAAGGGGAAAGTACCATGTGGAATCTGACCTAAAAGGTATATATGTTATGTAGTTGTTAGGAGAATATTATTATTATTATTATTATTATTATTATTATTATTATTATTATTA